GAGAGAGAGAGAGAGAGAGAGAGAGAGAGAGAGGACCACCTTGTGACTTGTTCCTCAGATGCCTTCCTCTTAATTTTTTTTTTTTAATTTATTTTTTATTCTTTGGGGGAAATCTCTCACTGGCCTGGAGCTCACCAAATAGGCTAGCCTGGCTGGCTAGCGAGTGAGCCCCGGGACCCCTGTCTCTGCATCGCTAGCTCTGGGGTCTAGCATTTTAAAACGTGAGTGAGTTCTGGGGACTGGGCTCGGGTTTCCTTGCTTACAAGACAAGCACTTACCAACTGAGCCCCGGCCTCAGCCCCTGCTCTTAGTTACCCAGTCTGAGAACAGGCCCCTATGTCCTGCCTGGCCTCAGACTCCACCCTCCCGCCTCCCCCTCCCCGGGACAGTGGCTGCTGGTGTTTGCCATCACAGCTGGGTTCATCTTTGAATGATTTATTTAGTTACACATTTCCCCCATTGTTTTGACATTTTTATTTGTTCTTTGTTAAGTTACATTTTATCTCAAGGTGGAAATATTTATCACTTTCGTAACTTTTGTTTTCACTGTTTTGTCAAAGATGGGAGAGTGGAGATTAGATCATTTCATCTGAGATCACTTACATCACACTCATTCTGTCTTCCCTGTCTTTTCTCTTGGAAGCCATTGGGTCCCTTGTCAAACTCCAGTGTCTGGACCTTAGTGACAATGCCTTAGAGATTGTGTGCCCGGAAATTGGTCGTCTGAGAGCATTACGTCATCTTCGATTAGCTAACAACCAACTACAATTCCTACCTCCAGGTAATCCCTGTCTGTATAGTTTCTTGTGTGTCACGAATCTGCTTTTATCACTGTATGCAGTGGGATGTGTAAATGTATTTGCAAGTATCTGTTTATTTCAAGATGAAACAAAGGGATGTAGGTAAAACACGACTAAGGGTTCTTCTGGTGGAAATGTAAGAAGGTAGTGTTTATTCTGGCCCACCGCAGGAGTGCGTTATGATCAATGTCCTTTCCTGTCACTGCCAGGCAAGATGCTTGTATGGAAGTGAACTCAGATGCTTATGATGTTTTTGGTAAAAATAGAATTAAGAAGTTAATATATAACCTCATAACAAGTCTCACCGCTTCCAGCTGTATTCGGTGCAAACACTTTCAAGTCAGTAAAGAACATGATTTTCAGGGTTTATCATGTGCCACCTGTGTTTGATCGTGCCAGCCTTCCAGTGTCTCTTTTTAGATAGCTGGAGAATTAGATGCTCTTTTGAAGACCGCCTGGAAATGTAGCAACAGGGATAGAAGCTTTCATATTTGGCACCAACAGATGGATAGCAGGGCCTGGGAATGTAGCTCGGTTGATAGAGTGCTTGCCTAGCATGTTTGAAGCCCCGGGTTCAATCCCCAGCTCTACAAATCTCGTACAGTAATGCAAGAAGATCAGAAGGTCAAAGTTGGCCTCGGCTACATGGTGGGTTCAAGGCCAGCCTGAGGTCCAAGAGACCCTGTCCCCAAAACCAAACTAGAGAATGAAATGCGTGGATCCACTGCAGTGTTTGCAAACCCTGCTTATATACATGCAAGGACACGGAGCACTTTGGGTCCCTGTGAGTGCTCCGTTCTTTCTTTCCTGTGCATCACACTTTGTGGTGGAATGTGGTCATTTCCGTCTAGTGCATTCCCAGAAGTTAATGGTGTTCTTCTGACACCACCTGACTGCCTCTTACTAACCACTGGAGGTGTATATTTCCTGACTGCTTTCATATAACTTGTTTTGTCTACACTTCCGTTCCATAAGAATTCAGGCATGCATTTTTTATTTTAATTTCCTAGCTTTTTTTCTGTTGTCTGCACTTGGCTCTTCATGTTTGGAGTGATATTTTATTCTGTAGCAACTCTGCATTTTAAGTAGTGACTTTTTGGATAGCCTGGAGGAAGTTTTGTTTTGAACTGGGTTTCAGTGTGTAGCCCTGGATGTCCTGGAACTCCACAGATCCACCTGTCCCTGCCTCCCGAGTGCTGAGATGAAAGGCATCACCGTGCCTGGCCAAGAGTAGGTGCTTTTCTTCCTAGGCATCCTGTGTAGTGCTGGACGGGCCCTCCTGCTTTCTCACCTCACATTCACACAGCTCGTTGTGAAGTTGTTTCAAATATTTGACTGGTTGGGACCAAGTCTAAACAGCTCCCCCATGTGTGGCAGTGTTTGGAGACATGGTATGAAGAGAAGGAGGTGGGGGGGTCTCAGGAGTTGTTCCTTGGTGGCAGTAGACACTAGCTGACATGTGATGGTAACTCCTTCTACATAGTCCACGCTGTTATGTGGCTGTTCTTCATGCTGGGTTCCCTCAAAGGCTTCCCATCTTACTGTGGTGGTTTGTTTGTTTGGTGTGTGTGTGGTATGTGCTAGCAAGTACATGCATGTATGTGTGTGCACGTGTGTGCACATGTGTGTGTGTGTGTGTGTGCGCGCGCGCGCGCTTCATAGCCACTAATTGAGATATGAAAAATGTTCAGGATGTAGAATTAACACAACAAGCACACGTGTAAAAGCCTGGCTGTAAGGACAGTCAGAGCTCAGAACTGCTTTAAGCATGCACACAGTCTTTGCATGTTCAGATTGCCATGAAGCCCAGTGTTCTCTCGGATTCTGAAACTTGCCTATGACTTACATTAGAGGGCGCTTCTTGATAATACTCACCTTTCTACAGGTTCTCTTCCCTCTTCTATTGGATCGCAGAGTACTGCTGTTCTCTGTAGTGTGCCTTTGTCTTCTCCTCGTTCAGCTGCTCAGTTGTGGGGGCCTGGAAGAAGCAGGAGCAGTGTTTCCCTGGGAAAACTGGCAGAGACTGGTGGAAGAGAGAGAATGGGGGAAGAATGGGTGTGGGGGGCGTCAAAATCGGTTCCCCTTATTTTCTGAATTATCACACCATATGGTGATATCTTCCCGGGAGCCAGGTGATAGACAGGTGTATTTGAATAAAGGAAAAGGGAAGATGAAGTACCAAATAGCTTGACTCATCTTCCTGTCCTTCAGTATTCCACTCCCTGGCTCTGTTCTTAGTCACGCAGGCTTTCTCTGTTCTTGGGTCGTGCAGGCTTTCTATTTGAGCTAATTCTAGCTGGCCTCTGTGAGCTGCAGCCAACTGCTCCACACCCCTGTCACCTCCAAGGCTCAAGCTGCTTGTCTGAGGTGTCGGAGCTGAAGCACACCTCTGTGCCATGTTGTGCCCCACACTCCCCTGTTAATGGTTAGGAAGTCAGAGTCAGCCATGACATCATAGCTAGCGTGTCCCTGGATGGTGTGGACCATTCTGTCGAAGTCAGAGTCAACCATGACATCATAGCTAGTGTGTCCCTGGATGGTGTGGACCGTTCTGTCGAAGTCAGAGTCAACCATGACATCATAGCTAGCATGTCCCTGGATGGTATGGACCATTCTGTCGAAGTCAGAGTCAGCCATTATATCATAGCTAGTGTGTCCCTGGATGGTGTGGATTGTTCTGTCACCTCTCTACCTTGTGTAATATGCTTGCTGCTCTTCTCTGTGATATCTTTTTTGTTTCACCTGAATGCAGATACTTTACAGCGTGCAGAGAACACTAGGTAAGACAGGATGAAGGAATTGCCAAAGCCTCTTCTGAGGACTAGACTAGGGATGAATGGAGTGTGAACGGAGCCGTGCAGCACGTTCTTTGTATTTCTTTTGTAAATTAAAACACTTAACTTTTTTTTTCAATATATTAATGCATGTTTTTATGAACAAAGCATGTATAAATGTTTTATTATTATGTGAGATACTGACGTGTGGGTATGTGAGGTATGCCATGGCGCATGTATGGAAGCTGGGATGACGTTTTGGGGTCGGTTCTGTCCTAAACCTTTGTGTGTTCCAGGGATCAGACCCAGCCATCGGGATCTGCAGCAATTGATCTTAGCTGCTGATCCATCTCGTTGGCCCTGTCACTGTACGCTAATTATTCAAAATGAATAGATTTTGTTCTGACATATTTTTTCATTTTTTTTTAGTTAGCCATGGGTTTCATTGAGACATTTTTATCCATCTATATCATGATATTGTTCTTATTGCCCCCTACCCTCTACCTCCCACTCTGCTTATCTCCTCCCTCGCCTCCAAGTAGTCCCTTCTGTTATCATTATCACATTTTTTTAAGATTTATTTACTGATTAGGTATACAGTGTTCTGTCTGCTTGTATCCCTGCAGCCCAGAAGAGGGCACCAGACCTCATTACAGATGGTTGTGAGCCACCATGTGGGTGCTGGGAATTGAACTCGGGACCTCTGGAAGAGCAGCCAGTTCCCTTAACCTCTGAGCCATCTCTCCAGCCCTGTCATATATATATAATTATTATACTCTCTTGCCCTGACATATGTTCCCTGTGTGTGACTTCTTTCACTGAGAGTGGTTTCTTGTTACACTCAGGCTGCCGCACATACCTGTGCTATGTTGGTTTTTATTTCAAAGTAGTGTTCCATGGCATAAGGATTCAGTTCCTCTTGATGAGCATGCAGGGTTTTCAAATGAAAACTAACAGAACATAATGGAACATGGCTTTCTGTGGACATACCTTTTTATTTCTTTGGGGTAAAATATCTCAAGAGGGAAAAAGTTGTTGCTTCATAAGGTAGCTGTACATTTAACTCTTAAGACTCTTCCCAGCAGCCTTCAAAGTGGCCGCCCAGTTCTTCTCCTCCTCCTCCACTGTCAGGTAGCTGTACATTTAACTCTTAAGACTCTTCCCAGCAGCCTTCAAAGTGGCCGCCCAGTTCTTCTCCTCCTCCTCCACTGTCAGGAAACCCCTGGCCTCTCCTCCCAGTCCTCACCTCAGCAGCATAAGCCCTGGCCTCTCCCCCACTGGTGGTCCTGTGTGTTTCTACTGCTTATTTTTAGCAGTGCTGTTGGGTATAAAAATAGTTGTTTCATTTTGTATTTACTTTGTATTTTTCTCTTGCCTGAGAGTGGCAGGTACCTTCTTGTGTGTTTATGGGCTATTCAGAACCTTTCTTTTGGATTGCAGGAGATAGCTTCCTGTTTGACATGTTGGTGACTGGCTTTTTCCTATTGCTGAGAAATTTTCTTTGACCTGCCCCTCGCTCCAGCCCCGTGAGAGCGCTTCCTGCCGTCCCACTGGGGCCTGGATTGGCTTCTCTGTATTCTGAAGAGTTCTTGCCTTTAAGAAGTTTCTCTTGGCTTTCTTATTATCTCCATCCCCCAGTTTTCCCTAGCTGAAAGCCTCTGAGTGCCCTGGGAAAATGACATCAGAGAGAGAGAGAGAGAGAGGGAGAGAGAGAGAGAGAGAGAGAGAGAGAGAGAGAGAGCACCAGTCTGCGCTTGCACCTTTCAGCCTTTCACAGCTGGACTGATTTCTCATTAGCTTTTGTCTGGGGCAGATTCCTTTTCCTCCTGTTCTTTCAGACAGGGAATAGCAGCCAGGGATTTCTTTTGTTTTAAAATGAGCCTGTCACCTATTGAAGTAAGCTTAAGATAATTGCTGCCTCAGTTGCCAGTGAATTTCAGGAACTACCATTATGTAGCATATCCAGCGTGGTTTGGTTATTGTAAGAGAATGAAGAACTCTTATGACTATTCTATTTTTTTCTTTTGTTTTTTCCCTTTTTTATTATTTTATAATTTCGTGTGCATGCATATATATGTCTGTGCACCACATGTGTGCGGTGCTCACAGAAGCCAGAAGAGGCACTGGCTCCCCTAAAACTGGAGTCACAGATGGTTGTGACCTCCATGTGAGTTCTGAGGCTAGAACCTGGGTCCTGAAGAACAGTG